CACATTTACGTTCTTCTCTTTCCATACTATGCAATGTATCTGAAATGGGGAATTAACACCTACCCCCATATTATTCATCACAAAGTCCAAGTGCAGAGACTGGTACCTAGGTTCTCAGAGTCACTCAGAAGCATACATCCCACTGATATAAATGAGAAGAAAATGTGAAAAGAGACTAAATCTTCACCTAAATGAATTGTTGCAGGCGTAGTGAAAATTCACACAGATAATGACATCACACATCTGCCTTTCACTGCAGGCCCAGTGCTTTACCAAGCGGGCCACTACTGACTGGAACTGCATTTTAGCAGGGCTCTGAAATCATAGGCATGTTGAAGGTGATCAGAGTTAATAATTCTGAGTTGTCCAAGGAGCATTATGATGACAAACTGCTGCTCATCACCTTTTGAAGGTAATTTTTTCAGAGACAATCTATGAGATTCTGTGAAATCCTCAGGTGACTCACTGCTGGCGGTCAGCATCTGCAACCTCCAAAAGACAGCTCTCAAGCACACCTTCCTTGTACTAGCTGAGACCTGAGTACAGATGTACAATATTTGCACTGTAATCTACAGATTCTGCCAACTTTTTAACCTTTCCCTCAGTTACTGCTAGTGTTGAGCATTAGACACTTTGACCCAACAAGGCAGAACATCTAAGGTTTTACGTCCTGATGCACAACTACGACTTCAAATCATACTGACTACTAAAATGTACCTTAACCAAAGGACATTTCATTAGACACTAGGCTGTGCATTGAGGAGCTGAACCATTTTCAGCAGCTGGACTCTGGGAGTGAAAGAGCTTCCCTTCCCATCTCTGGCATCTCAGGTAGGATGAACTTGGATCACAAAACTTGGGAGAACATTTGATATAAGTTACGTGCCTGCCACACACAGCTTCTTTCGTAACCTTAGTATTTAACTGCCAGCATACGCGGTCACCCACGCAGGAGCTGAGAAAATACACACATGACCCTTGCATTTTCTTTTTCTCTTTGAAAAAAATGGCACGGCTGGGATTGAGATACTGAGACTCTTGTTACTCTTGGTAGATATTAGTGGAGCTCTTAATCACTCAAGATGGCCAGAATATGCATTATTGAGTTAAGAAGCCAAAGCCTTCCCTAACAATCTCACTTTCTCGCAGATTGCTTTCTTCTGTGTCTGCAGAATGAGAGTAGGGTAACATGGGGTGAGCATTTGGGGCTTGAAAGAACAAGACACATTGCTGTCTGCCATGACTTTCTTCACTTATGGTAGAAGAGGAGTATGAGGCTCATAATCTTTTTCCCTAGAGTTATAATGGGCTGTGGGCAGTAGGGCAGTGACTACACAGTAACAAACAGCTGACTTCTTGGAAGGCACCTCAGTCTGGTTGGCCTGGAGAGAGAAGACTGAGACAGGATCTTATCAATGCTTATAAATATCTAAAGAGTGTCAAAAGGATAGGGTCAGTCTCTTTTCAGTGGTGCCCAGTGATAGGACAAGGGGCAATGGGCATAAACTGGAACACAAGTTCTATCTGAATAGGATGGAAAAACGTGTTTATTTTGAGTGTGACAGAGCACTAGTATAGGCTGCCCAGAGAGGTTGTGGAGTCTCCTTCTCTGGAGATATTCAAAAGCTGCCTGGACATGTTCCTGGGCGACCTGCTCTAGGTGAACCTGCTTTAGCAGGGTGGTTGGACTAGATTATCTCCAGAAGTCTCTTTCAACCCCTACCATTCTGTGATACCTGGACTGAACTTGACTTTTGGGACTGTCATTTGTAAGTGAAAATGGAAGCACGTGTATAATTTCTCTGGGAATTACGAAGGAAGGGGAGCGTGAAGCTCTTGTTTGTCCTACCCGCTCACAGCAGCTCTGACGTATCTCTAACACAAAGGTCAAGGTCAAAAGCTTTTTCTCTGTCCACAAAGAGGGACACTAAATCTGCATTTCAATATAAAATTTAGAACATTTACTCATCACAATGAAAATAACTGTCTGATTTTATGACAAGCATTGTGAATTTAGTATCTTTGCTCTTTCC